CTTGAACGAAGGCAATGTTCCGGGTGTTGCTTTGCGGCAGGGGCTCCTGCGCCTGGTTTGGTCTGTGGCTGGCCCCAGGTATAGCCCTGGCTGCGCCTGCTTCCAGCGGGGTGGGTCCCCGTATCACCGAAGATCGTGTGGTCGTGGTAGAGGTGCAAGGTCCCGAAGGCGCCGGACACGGGGAGGAGCTCGAGGCGGGCGTAGTGGAGGAAGTGGCTGCCTGCGGAGTTGAACCTGTTAGAGGCGGGGGAACCAAAGCAGCAGGTGGGCTTGCAAATGCTCGCACTGGATCCACGGCAGGTACAGCACGGCGGGGGTCATCCCCTAAGAAATCATCCAAGAAGTCCTGAACGGGGTCCTCCCCAGCCTCGACCCTTTGCGCGGTCTGAGTTTCTTGTCGGTCCCGGCGTCGTCGTCTGTCGCGGTCTCGTCCCCGGCTGCGGCTCCTGGAGCGACTTCGTCGTCGTCGTCGTTTGCGGTCTCCGTCCCGGTCTCGGTGTCTACCACCGGGTCTTTCAGGCTGGTCCTCCATATTCTCCAGGTAGGGAAGGAAATCCCTCACTAATCCCTACACGCCACCACCAAGGCAAGGATATTACTCCTGATGTCGATGCCCAAGTCACGAACTTGTAGGTGTCGGTCGGGTCGTTCGAGGTAGATGGACCCCTGAATCGTGTAGAAGGCACTATTCCTGAGTAGGTCCGCCGACCCCGTAGGCGAAGAGGGATGTCAAAGTCCCTAAGGCACTGCGTGAGGCCACCGTACAGCTGCGTTGCACAACTAGGTCCTCGGTTGAAGCGATGGTCTCGTAGAACGGTGAACCTCTTATTCACGAAGCCCTGCAATCGCTCGGCAAGAAAGGCACGAGGAGTGAAAAGAAGAGAGGCGCCCGGGTTGAAGGATCGGGGGGCCCCGAAGAAATGGAGAAAGGCAGCAAAGGGCAGAGAGGCCCCCACGTCCTTGAGCACTCGCGGCTTGAGCCAAAATGGCTACTCTGTCTCTCTCTCTCTCTCTCTCTCTCTTTCTTTCTCAAGGGTTGAGGGAGAGGGGATTGCGCCCCTCACCCGCGCGCGTCAGCGCCCCCGCCTGTTGCGGAGAGGCTTGCAGGAGTTCAGAAGGTTCATGGTTTCCCCTCTTTGGTTTCCCCCTTCCTTTCCCCCTCCTTCTTTGGCCCCGGCCTGAGTAGGGCTCCTCAACCTATGCCGCGAGAACCGATGTCATGCTTGTGATCATGGTATGTCATGCTTGTGCTCTTTGTATACCGTGTGCTCCACATTAATAGCGGCATGGGAAGGTAGGGGAAGAACCCCTCCGGCGCTTAATCAAAAACGAGATGCCAATTTGGGAATGTCCCATACCGAAGATACCTATTTTTCGCTGTCCTTTTGCCTTGTTGTAGCATGTCGAACTCGCGAGTATCCTCGAGCAGACTTTATGGCGAGTGCTCTCTCTCTCTCTCTCTCGATCTCTTTCGAGGGGCGTGGGAGGCACGCATCCACCCACCTAATTAGTACATCAGGAGGCCTCTGTCAAGTGGCCGAGGCTCGCGTCAAACTGGTCGCACAAGCCCTTGTAAATTCTCTCTCAGCTTCGCTTGTAAGACAAGTCTCCCAACACCTGGATTTCGAGAAGGCTGCGCTCCGGATTCTTGTTATGCTTGCTCCCCAGCGAGGGTCTTAAAGATACGACCTGCCTGCCAAACTTGTGAATGTGGCCCGGAACGGACACCACAACCTTGCTATGAAGACCTCCGCCATGCATTCGTATCTGGAACCGCCCGAACTTTAGACATGAGCTGAGGGATTTTTGTGTGTGTGTGGGGCCTTGTTGCTCTCCAAACTGTATGACGCAAACAGAAGCGCGAGGTCACCGAAGTTGAAGAGCTGCAGTTCCAGTGCATCCCTTTCTGAACTGAGCATTTTATTGTTGAGGGCCAGGCCATGCCAGGGACATGATGCCACACCTTGAGTCATGCTGGACCAGGGCGCGTTCACTTTAGACTGTCTGTCGCGCACAATGTAGAACTATTTGTGACTTGCAAATAGCGCGACCCTTGCAAGCTAATGCAAGCGTCGGACGGAAGGAAGTAGCGGGACAACATCCAATGGCTTCAAGAACTGAGGTTCAGACAAATAAAGCAGCCGGCATCATCTCCGAAATCAGACTAGCGTGTGCTCCTCAACATGCGCGGGATCACACTCTGCAGAATCTGCAGAATCAAGTAATCAAGGTATGCTACAAAGGACATTACACGTCGGGAAACGCACACGAGCGGACGGGGAACCGAAGAAGTATTGGCCCATTGGCTCAGAAACTGGCAAATGCAAATCCGCAAAAAAGGACACGCGAATCGCAAACTGATATCGCGCACTCAAAAGCTAAGCAACTGGATGCGCACATGACAAGCAAGAACTAATTGTATGTTCCGACCGACAGACAAGGGAACCGAACCATATTCCCCATTTCTTCATCCCTAAATGTTGAAAACTTTGCCCACGTTTGAGCGGGCAAGGGCTGGATTGATCAAAATCACGAGGAGAGCTATTCGACGCCTTAAGACTGGCGTGAACACTGTAGTTGTACAGTGTCTACCTCTCGACTCCAAGCCGGCAGCATGCCTAAAGGCGGCCAGTCATGACAGACAATCTGAACAAGAGCTTCCCAAAGTTTCCCAGTGATTTCAGAAAACACAAAATACGGCTTTACCTCCGTCCGCTCCTCCTGGATCCTTGCCGTGCTCTTCCTCGTAAGCCGTTCGGATGATCAGCCGGAACCTGACAGCCAGCCCTCATCCAGCGAGCTTAGCTCAAGCTTAGGTTGACCTGCACACGCGCTCGCGACGACGGCCTCCGACAAAGCTACCTGGGCCTCAAACTTCGTCCACAAGCGATACAGTAACCCTAGATGCCCGATCATGCCCGATCTCTGAATCTGTACGACGACGGACCCGCGAGATCGACACGATCATGACATCCCGCCAAGGCAGGGGCTCATGGCCGCCTGAAGCTTGGCTTTCTCGGCCGGAGACAGGTTCAGGCTCTCTAGCCTGGGAGCGCATGCGAATTCCGTGCCGGAAGGGCTAGGCCTAGGCCTGAAGGCACATGTCAGGTAGTTCGCTGGGAGCGCCGCCCGAAGATTGCCCCAGCAAAGCTGTCAGTCACGGTCGTCGTGTCTGCCTCAACCCCCAACCCCCGGCGGAGTCTCTCAAAACTCACTCGGACATCGCCCCGCCCCACCGGCCTCAACCTTGCTCTGGGGACGTTTCGAACTTCCGGGGCCCTTCCCCAAGCTCGCCGTGTCAATGGCGTTCTGGAGGCCTAGGCTGGCCGCCAACAGCCACGGCAATAGCCACGAGCTGCAAATAAAACCAACTTCCGCTCGGTACTCGGAAACGGAAAGTTTACAGCAAGCCTCGTTCTGCAAGCAGACTTGCCGAAACTCGCATCTCATGTCTTTGCGCTTGTAGAGTCTCATTCGGTGGTCCGTAGATTCTGGACTCCCCGAGCGGCCTCGATCCCTGACCCGAAATGGCTCGATGACAGACCCTCCAAGTCCCCACGACCGAGGTCCTGTCCGAAAGCCTTGAATTCGCGTATGAGCTGCCCCGAAGACAAACTTAAACTGCAGGCAACCAACACTGCCAGATTCCCACAGCACTGCCCAAAATCTGCGCACCCGACGCCGCAGGGCCGCAGCGAAGTCGCTGCGGCTCCCAGCTGCAGCAAAGCCTGTCTGGGTCCGGGCTTCACACTTACATAAATATCCATGACTCAACGATTGACACTTCTTTTGCATGCGCTCGTTGCTTGTAAGCCTAGGCCCTGGAAACCTCTGAGAAAGCTTGTGTTGTGCCTTCGGCCACAAGCAGAGTTTTCTGGAGTAGACGAGGGAGGGCTCAAGACTTCTGTGCACGATCCTGCGTCCATCACAACCAGACCATGGGCGGCTATGTGGTGAAGGTTCACGATCGGCTGTGATTCAGCTCCGTTGGATTGGCCGTGCATGTCTTTCTTCTGGAGGCGCTCCGCTCCATCTCCTGTTCCACAAATCTCTTTGTGCGCTGAAATTCAGGTGCACGGCTTCAACCACCCTCCGAACGGCTTCAGTTAGCTCTGTAGGTTGGTGCGCTGGAGCACCGCAACCTTATGCCTGGAGATTTCGACCTCATCGGCGTCGCCGATCGCCACTGTGATGCGTTCGCGCTCCTTTCGGACTGCCTCTGGATCGCTGGCCGCCGTTGCCCCAGCGAACTGCATCGACTCCACCATTTGACGACGCTCTTCAACAGAAAATGGCGAGAAGTCGACGATGATGGGCACCTCTGCCTCGTGAATCGTTAAACTGCCCTCCTCCAAACCTGCCACGATCGCAGGACTCCGCCGAAGCCAGGGCAGCCACTCGCTGTAAAACGGATTCCTCGAGTTTCCTATCACGTAGCTAAGCAGCGGTGCTGTACTCCCGAAAAACCACTTGTTCAGGACCTGGCTCATCTCCGACATTGGAATGCAATGTAGGCTGTCGATCCAAATTCCGACATGAGCGGTTGCTTGGGGTGAAGCTCTCTGGGCTGTCATGGACAGCCGGTGGACACGAGCACCGAGGTGTTCCTCGATCGCAGCATCCATTGTTGTTGGCGGCCCTTCGGGTTCAAGCAGAATGATATCAAGAGCCAATCCTTCCGCTTTGGCAGCCTTGAGAAAATGATAGTCGTTTGTCGCATCGCCACTCCCGAAGCTGATCGCCAACAGCCGGTGATCGGCGGTCTTCGGCACTCGCGATCGCAGATCCTGAGCGGACCAAGACAAGCCGCTCTGCTTTGGATCCACGGAACCCCCGACAGAAATACCGGCGGCCTGTGATATGCATCGCCCTGCCGAGTGTCGCACCAAAGTTCTGCCTAGAAGCCGGGGAGTGTGTCGCACCCATGGCATTGCAGAATTTTGAAACTTGCTACGAGTATTTGCCAAGCTGTTGGATGGACGCTGAAGCGATTGACAACCATATAAGCGCAGTGAGAGCCACTTTATCTTATCACCCAGGCAGATCCTTGATGGATCGGCCCTGATGTATCCGACAGGTCGGTGCGAGTAGTCGTCAGAGTCGCAGTGGTGCTTGGGAGGTATGCTTACACGCAAAGGCGGACGAAAGGCCAGCAGATCACACCAGTCGAACCCCCTGGTAAAAGATTTGCAGCTGAGACAGTGGCCTGTCACTGTCGGCATCGGCTCAGGCTGCCGTGATGACGGGACCTCGCACAGCGTGAGACACCCTCATGGCCTCTCATGGATGCTTTCTCCGGACATGTGCGTGCTCGAGACTGCAGGCTTCGAAACAAGCAGGTCAAGAGAACGCAGCCATCCCTGGAAAAACCTTCTGAAGCAAAGTTCCTGCACCTCGCTTCCCTTCTGTTGCGGCAGTCGGCGGAGCATCTCCTGCCCAAGGCAAGACAAAAAAGGGCTAATTTTGAGGCCAATGTAGCCTCGGAGATCTGCTGCCTCCGCCTCCACCAGGTCTGGATCAGTGGAGCAGCTGAGGGGCTTCAGCCTTACACAACAGCCGGCTACGACGCATCAAGACGTCTTTTCAGGCATTGCTGACGTGCAAGCTGCAAGAGCCTATAGGCAACTGGCACTTCAGCAGCCGATGACCACAACTCGCGGGCTTTGTCCTGGGAGGAGGGGGGATGCATGTCTTTACACTTCGAGACTGTGCCTCGTCGCAGCTGATGCGATCCAAGCGGGGAGACTTGAACTCGCGCGGCTGGAAACACAACAAGTGCCTGCACATACTCTCCAGGGTCCAGGCGACCTTGCCAGCACGAAGGGACAAGCCCGCCAACTTGCATCTTGGTGCTAAGGTTGTGAAGAGGACTCCGAGGCATCGTTATGCACCGTTCTTCATCTACGCGATGCTCCACTTCGCTAGCACATGGAGCCACACTTCGTTTAATCGTGTGTGTTTTACTGTATGAACAGAGCTCGATTACTGTGCTCGCGAACGGGTTCGCATTGTGGACTTTGGGGACTGCTCGGGTGCGAGGTGGCGACGAAAGCTGCTTCTCGTTCCAATGCAAGAGTTCTACCGACTACCCGAAAACTTAAATCCAAAGAGGACATTAGCGGTAAGGCCCAGGCTCCTCTCTGGCTAGCTCAACATCTCCTGCTCCGTAGCCCTGACCTGGCAAAAACAACTCCAAAGCGAAAAGCGAAGCCAAGGCTTCGCAAAGGAATCATTGCATCCATCTTCAACTCCAAGCTCACATGGACCCGCAAGGCCCTACACTTCAAGGCCGAAGCATGTCCAGTGTGTCAGCTGGCAAGCAGCGAAGATACAATTGTTCACAATGGTTTTGACACTCATGCGACGGCCTCTGGTTGGGGCGTGATGTGCGACGGCACACCCAGCACACACGCATTGAATTTGGAGCGGTTTGCCGATAAGACTGCCGAATGCTACGACTCATAGCTTTCGCTTCCCGTGTAGTGACCTGTAGCCAGGATGCTCCGGATATGCTTCCTGGGAGGCTTGCTTGAACGCCTCGAAGTGCTTCGCCACTTTCAAGTCCATAAAAACAAGACAGCAGAAAACACTGCTGGCACGCGATACAGGGGCTGAAGTCCTGAAGTACTGTATCCCTTCAGCTTACATCCCCAACAGCCCCAACACCCCCCCAAAAGAAAACGCTTCTGACCCCTTGCAGTGCACGAAAGCGGCTGAGCATCCCGGCGTAGCAGGGCCAGGGCCGCCGACGAGGCCGTCACCTGGGCATCGATTTCTCTGGCCTTTCCCTACGAGTAGGAGCTCCGGATACCTCGGAGGCTTCAGGGAATCTTTGAGGCTCTTGAGAATCTGAATCTAGTGGGTCTTGGATTGGAGATACTGAGATACCCAAATGCTACTAGTAGGTGCTAAAGATGCGGGGCATCCAAGGTGGCGGCGGCTTCGAGCCAGGCCCCACGTCCGGCGGCCTCCTGGAAGCTGCAAAGTAAGGCAACTTCCGCCCGGGTGCGAGCGAAAGGATGCAACCCTATCAATTCTTTCTTGGGACACAGAGAGGCAGAGGATTGTAACCATGAGTCTACACGAAGAGCTGCTGGATGCTGGTGGAATCGGTGCCTCCGCACGCAGGTCAAGCTGCCTGGCCCGTTCTTTCCACTGGAAGTCCTCGTCCTGCACCTGGGGCCGTGCAGGGATGGCAGACACGAGTCGAAAGTGTGGAACGGATTCATGTCGGTGGCTCTGCTGAACTCTGAACCCTGGGCAACATGCTACGGGAACTTTACAGAAAGTCAGGGTCGTGCCTTATACAATCGGAACGGTGTATGCAACACAATACCGTAGCATCAAACATGATGACTTAGGCTGCGGCGGATGAGGCGCAAGCTTCGCAAAGGCAGTCGAAACCGTACCTGACAAGGCTGGAAGCGCTGAGTTGAGCTCCAGTTTTCACACCAACCGCTTAGCATTCAGGCATTGGCATTTAGTGGCAAGGATACTGGCTTTTGGGGAAAGGGTGCAGATCCAACTCAGAACATAAAAAGGCCGGCGGAAAGAGCCAGGTGCCACATGTGAGCGTAAGAAGACGAGGCATGGAGGACAGTAACGAAACTGAGAGATAGAAAAACAAGGCCCAGCAAATGGACACTTGATCCTGCCTTGTAAGCAAACGAGAGCAAACCAATCAAGCAGCACAGTACATCACGATCTTACCACTGACACGGAAGCAGGGCGCTGGCTGCTCAGCTTCTGTTGTCTTTCTGAGCGCAGGTGTGAGGCGCCTGTAGGGCCTGGTGCACGGAGCGATTGGATGAACCAGCTTAGCTTATCAAAACATTATAATTATAATAATAATAATAGTAATAATAATAATAATAACAATAATAAATAATAAATAATAATAAGTAGCTGCACCATAGTAGGGCGGACACCAGCAAGTTTGTTGTCATTGCTGATGCTGCCGTTGCTTGCCATGGTCGTTGGTCTCGTCGTCATACGGTTCGGAGGTGATGCGTTCAGTTATGCAGAAGTCAATTACCTTCGGCTTCATGTGCATACAACACATCACACCGTGACGGGCGCCAGTCTGCTCATGTTGCAGCCGTTCCTGCACAGGAAGACTACATCAGATTCGGAGTTCATGGGAGTTCCCTGGGTGGGTGGAAATGCTGCGGCTGGAATAAGGAAACCATAGTGCCATAGGAACGGACCCACATAATGCCATAACGGATTGTCAATGATTGTCACTGCTGGACAGTTTGGTACTCGGGCCCCCGGGCCGTAAGAAATGGTCACTTCCTCCCCAGCGTTGACCTCGGTAGATGCTAGCGCGGGCGGTTTGTAGATGCGACCAGAAGACAAGAATCCCATGCTTGCTGCTTTCCCGCAAGCGGCAAGCGAACAGCACGTCCCATACCGAAACAAAGGCAGCTCAGCAAGCCGGCATGTCGCCATCTGTCGCCATGTTCCAGGTGCCCCGACTCCATTTGGTGAGGAGATCACGACTTCCACACCGTTGGTGTCCTACACTGCAGACACTAAAAAACCGTCCCACTACCTGGCCTGCGTCCAGCGTCGCCACTCTCCCCGACCCTGCCGCCCCACTCTCGCCTTGTCAAAGCGGAGCAAGGCATTTGGCTTGCAGGCGTGGTTCCTGAGATGCATGGGCGAGATCGGGGCGGAATGATGTGGGGAGTAAAGACCCGGGCAAGCTGTACAAGTGACTGTTGGGAATCCTGAAGTCAAGAACAGTACGTCGTAAGTCTCCTGCACGCTCTTTGCAAGGTTTGGATACCTCAGCTGGAAACAGGAGTAAACTCGCTGGGTGTGAGGAAGACTGCGAGCTTCGACTGAACTCAGAAAGTTATGGGACATCTGTTCCTGCCGTATTGCCTATTGCTATTGCCTCTTGCTGTAGCCCACCGGTATCAAAAAGAGCGGTATCAAGACGGGCTATCACTTGTCCTCCTGCCGATCCGAGGCTGAAAAGGACAGAGCCAGAGCCTCTTCAGAGTCTGACGAAGACACCTGACTTTGCAGACAACCGCACAAGACTAAAACCTCAACATGAGTGGCCTGACCGCTGCGAACGACTGTTGTTCCAAATCAGGGTTCGCTGTGCTGCAAACCTCTGGACCCCTTGTCCGGAACAATCCCAAACACTCTCCGAGCTGCAGGGCGAGGGCATTTTTGGTGCTCGTCAACTCACCAGAGCCACTCTCCTTGGCAGGGCGGCGAGCAATGGAACTGGCCGAAAGGTGCACAAGGTTCTTCAGGGCAGTAACTACGTGCGATCGTAGGCTTACTCTCTATAATTTCTTTTCGAGATGTTGACGGAAGATCTGTCGCCTGGACCAGAGCAGCGACTGACATGCATCGAAACAAGTTCGGCCCAACTACATTCGGGGCTTCGTGCCGGGTTGCAGCCAAAGCCGTGACTGCCACAGCATTGATGCGAACACGTCCGAGCCAAGAAAAGGCCTCCTTCGGGAGCAGCTCACTGATGTCACAGAAAGTGTCTTGGAGAGGTCTGATGCTAGATTAACTACGCTATGACTCAAACCATTTCTTCAGTCGTCTCACCTCTGCTTCCCGGCAGAGCTGCGAGGCAGGTAAATTCGGAATACCTGGGCTTCGTGCAGTCTCACAGCTTCTGCGATCCCTGAATTGGTTCAAGATTGTTGATCACTGGTTGATGTCTTGAAGAGCATGTCGCTCAGAAGGTTTCGTAGCAAAGCTCGCAGTCTCCAAGCTGGAAGCCTCAGAAATCTAGTCATTACTTGGGAGGCTCAGAAGGCGGGGGTAGGCGGGAGGGGGGAAGGGCCTGGGAGCTGGAAGAACATGCGTGGGCCATGTTCGCGACAGACACAAGCTGAAAGGCGGTAAAGACTTGCATTTACTTCGAGGTGGACATTCTTTGTGGCTACAAATGGGTTGTGGGCATCCACTTAAAAAAAGATGCGCTAGCTCGCTTAAGAATGATGCGAAGTGCCTCAAAGGTTATTGCAAGCAGCGCGTTGGTCTTCTCAAACCTATCTATTGCTAACACATTGTGATTGTGTTCTAGCTGCGTCAGATACCTACTGGCCCAAACGACAAACAATGGTCAGCTACTTGATTCGAAGTGCTGCAAAGATGCAGAGCGCCGTACAGACGGCGACCACGGCCCGGCTCTTCAGAGCCAACGGGTCTCGGCCGCCATGGTCCAGCAGGTCCTTCGCCAAGTCCGCCAGCCCGGCCCTCGAAGCTGCCAAGAGCTGCAAGGCCAAGCGCGTCTCCGCGTGCAGCTCCGGCTTCTCGCTGCCCGTGGCCACAGACGCCAGGGGCTGCTCCTGGATGCAGACGCTTCCTCGAGGGAGGTCGCGTTTCGCCAGCAAGGACCGGCCCTGGCCGGGCAGAGGCGCCACCTCCACGCCACGCAGCTGCGCAGGGCCCCGAGAGGCAGGGCCGACAGAGAAGGCCTTCACCACGTGCGAGCCCAGGAACTCCGCAATCTCCTTACAAGTAGGAGACAACCGGGAACTAAGAACAGTGCACCTTGCCTTAAGTCGAAACTCTTATTTTGCCGTGGCTCGGCTTGGCTGGGTCTCAGCGCCTCCACAAGCCGGTCCAAGACTTCGGGGCGACGCCTGCAGGCCGCGGCACACCGTGAAAGCTTGCCAGGGCACATTCGGAACTTCGATGGGCTGAAACCTCCCAAGCCCAAAACTCTCAGACGTCACCTTGCATCCGCGAGGTCCGCCAGCTGGGAGAGGATGGGTCCAGGAAGAGCTGGAACCTGGGCTCTCCCTTGCTCTGGGCCGAGCAGGGCTGGGGGGGTGTTCGGGCCTTTGGCAGGAGATTAGAGTATCAGCTCGTTCATTCGCTCATTTGGAGTAGTGACGGAAGACGCAGCGTCGGGCTTTGAGCTCGGAGCGACTGGGCTAGTTGGCTTCATGCTAATCAGTTTTTCACGCAGAATTCGGGGAACGGAAACACCAATCTAGCTACTAACAACCTTACGTGAACGAGTGCTCCTCTAAGCAGGTGGCTTTCAAGCGCTGCGGCCTGACCCCCAGGAGGTGCTGTGCCAGCGTGTCGTCCAGACAAGAAGCCATGGCTCTAGATGAAGAGCAGGGCGTGTAAAGCCGTTGACTTGAGTGCGGGGCTCCATGTCTCCGAGCTTGAATGTCCTCAAGGAAGCTACGAGTAAAGTCTCTTTGTTTGGAGCTCTGACCCTCAAAAAGTGGACTGTGGCGGCTGGGCCGCTTCCATGCAAAGCCCATGTTTGGTCGGCGAAAAGAGTCGGCTTCGTGGACAGAGCGGAAGATCTCAGATGTCTGTCGTGCAGGGCCTGCCCGCTCAGCTTCGCTGCTCAACACAATCATTTCTGAAGCGTTCGACGACTGCTCAGGTCTTATGTACACATCGGGTAATTGAAATCCGGAAAATCTCCGAACTGCGGATGTACCAGTGCCAAAGCCAAGCACTTTGGAAGGTGATGGCTGTGGGGTGTGGTGGATGTACCGTGAATACCAGCTTGCCTCCTATGCAACTTCCACTAATCGTCATGAAGCAAGCAGCGTCGGATTTCAACCCGTTGGCTTCACGAGACACGATGGGATCATCGGACTCGTTCCGTGGTTGTGCGAGGCCACAGCTTCTGAGAAGTCTGCTCAGATAGCTTTGGGTCGACCTCGCCCCGCGAGTTCATCAGGGCCTCACCCAGGCCAGAACATACGAATGATTACGAATGCGGATGTGGGAAGTCCTCAGGTGCAAACGTTCTTTGTCGCTCCGCAAAGCACCGACAAAAATCGTCCCTTCGCTTTTGCTAGTGCAATCTGGTGAGACTGGTGCTTGATAGCAGAAGGCCTATGAGACATCACGAAACTGCGCAGCTCGACGGCGCCAACAAGACTCGCATGTCCGGAGTCCATGCACACCAGCACCTCAGGTCGGTGTTCGAATTCGTGGGTCCTCTTGCCGCCGTCGCGAGCGATCCTGGGCTTGCCGAGCATCACGAGGTGGCTTCCGAGGTGTCGCTACGAGCCTCATGCAGTCGGTGGTCCACTGACGGACTGTGTTACCAGGTATCAGAGTTTCTTGATGGGATCCCAAGAGGGTCTGGGAAGAATGGCATCTTGGGACAGGGGATGTTGTCTATCGACAGCAGGCTTCAGGCCCAGATGCAATAGCATGCTCAAGCAACCCGGCAAACAAAGTCCAAGCAAACGCTGTTGTTGCATGCTCCAGGCAGGTTCTACAAGTGAGTCCGCAGATGCGAATTCTGGCCTTCCTAATGCCTATATGCAGACGGATGCACCGAATTCTGCTTTCAGAACCGTCGCCCGCCAAATTTATGGCTTATTTGGCAAACTGTACTCATTAGGATACTGCAAATTTGGAGGACGGCGGCATCCAGCAGTCCTACCGTGACTGACTGAATTATCTGGTGGCAGTCGACCGTTCCTGCCACTGCAGAGCACTCCACTCGAAAGACTCGTCAATGCCTCTGGGCCCAGTTTACTTGATTCTGACAGTAGTCCGGAAGTTGCGCATTGTGTCGGCGACTCCGGAGCAGGAAGCTCTGTCACCGCTGCGAGGCGGCCCTTCCGGGCCCTACTCCGCCTCACGAGCTAAAACTTGGCGCCGGAGATCGCCAAGGCCACGGGGCTACCTGCAACTGGGCTCCCTCGCTGCTTCCCCCAGGCTTTCAGCGCAGGCCTCCATAGAAATGTTGACCAGTTGGATCCTGGTGAATCCGTCGTCTGGTTCGCGAGGAGCCCTGGCGAAGCGTGCATCCCAAACGACCGGCACCACAACACCACTTTCGTGTACCACCCATACAGCCACCACTTGAACATGTGTGGACACAGCTGTCTCGTCTGCTTTCGCCCACCAAAAGGTACGCACATACATACATACATACATACATACATACATACATCTTTCCCCGTAGTAAAATTCTATAATCTGCCAGAAACCTCCACCCATTCGAGCCCCCCCCCTCCTCCCTCCCCCCAAACGGTGCCTGCAACTTGGGCTCCGCAGAGTTCGAGCTGCTCTTGGAGCCGAGCTTCCCGCTCCAGGAAGCTGCCTCGGGTGAGGGGGGAGTCCAAAAATATGAGATTCCGGGTGGCTTTCAAGAATACTTGGCACACCTCAAGGGATGTGCGTTTAGGGTTTTGGGATTTATATGTGTGTGTGGGTATATCTAGTATATATTATTTCCGGTCTTCAAGTGTGGATTGCTGGGTCGCGGTGCAGGGTGTCCGGTACACTTGTCAGGAAACCACGGCAGCAGTTGAAGGGAGCTTGCCAAAGAAATCCTTTCGAAAAAGGCATGCCCTGCACTGTATGGACCCCTACCATGACGATCCGCATGATGGCCATGGCCGTGTCTTGCACTTGCACCTAGATGACAAGGCACGAACGATTTCGGAATTGAGCTGCGCACACCCTTCACGAGCAACCCCATCACGAGCTGTGTTTCAACAAAGGTTCACACAGATCCAGTGGTAGCAATGGGAGCCCTTCTTTTGCTCTGTAGAGAACGGAGCCCTGAGAGTCCTGAGAGTTGGACTCTCCACGACAGCCGCTGCATCTTCACCGGGCAGGTGAGCCTGAATAAGTCCTGCTCTTGGGGCATCGAAGGCTTCGAAATATGCCTGCTCAGTGCTTACTGGAGTGTGAGTCGATTGCACTCCCGTGTAAAGAACGAAAGCCAGTCAAACTCTCCACTCACTCCCGGTCGCGACAAAGCATCGCCGAGCTCGGCAGGTCCTGAAAGGAAGCAGAGCCGCAAGAGCCACCAAAGTCCAACACCGCACCTGCCTCAGTTTGGAGAAAACACGCACATGGAGATCGCCGTCGTAGCCGATTGTCGGTGTTCCTTTCTTTTCCTTTGTTATCTTTTGTCGTCGCCTATCAGAACTGATATTTATGCAACGAAAGCTATAGAACCTGTGGAACCTTTTATCAACTTGCACACTACGATTTGTGTAGATGCAATACAACTGCTTCTTTTGATGATAAAAAGGAGCTCAAGGCCATTGATAATATGTATACATATATATATAATATAACAAAAATCTATACATACATATTTATATATGTATATTTATATATATATATATATCGGCGGCGAAACATTGTTTTGCAGGTGCAGAGCTATGCGTCCATAGCTCCTTCCACCTATTCCGCTAGCTTCGTTGGCTGGCATCACGGAATAGGCTGCCAGCCCCCTGCATTCTCAATCCGCTCTCATAGATCCGACTCAATGTCCTTAGGAACAGGACTTCCACACACACACACACACACACAGACACGGACGGATTTTAGAGTCGACAGTACGTCGATTGTAATCCATTTCTGGAGTGAAGAGGATCTTGAAGGGAAAGGGGATGGAATTGCCTTGGTATCCTGAGTACCCTGTCAATGGCAACACAAACCCTCGGCTTGCCAAGTTTTTCGGCTTTGCCTGGTGGCCATTAAAGAAATGCAGACCTTGGCAGGTACGCACTCGGACGTCCCCAACTGTATCAGCTATCATCCTGAGCCCTCTTCGTTGGGCAACCAACTCAGGTGAAAGGATTGCCCCCCTGCTTCTGAAAGTATGAGCAGTCAACAGGTCCTCACCAAATCCCTTAGCTTAGAATCAGGGTGTACAAACATACACGGTCACAAGCGCACACACAAAGCTCTTGCGGCTCCGAAGCATCTTCGCCTGCGCGGCACGCAAGTCTCCAGCTGCTCACCTGGACAAAAACCAAGTATCAAAAGACCTGCAAGAGCAGAGGGACCACGCATGCTACCCGTCTCTTGATTCGTACTTCGGTCACTGCATAGTGTGGCAGAATGGACATGCATAAAGTATACCGCGTCCAGTCGTGGAACTTCTGATTCTTAAGTCCCTGGAGCATCAAACAGCTCGGACCAGAAGATCGACAGAGAGAGAGAGAGAGAAACTGAGAATACCGAGAATCCTCGAGTACACATTCGCTGTTGTTGTGAAAAGGTACCGTCTTCTCAGCATTGCTGATGTTGGTACTGGTATTGCCAGTTATTGTTATAGTCGTGATAGTAGTCGTACTACGACTGCTGCTGCTGCCGCGGTCGCTCCTGCTGCTTCCGCTACCTCTACCGCTGCTGCTGCTTGCTAATAGCTGCTAACAGTATCAGCGCGGACCGCCTCCACAACTACCACGACTGCCACTACTGGAAGCAGCTTGTTCCCTGCACAGGCGCCTTCCGCGTCCTCGGCTTCCTTTCCAGAGTGCTCGGGGTCCTCCGGCTCGGTTTGCACCGAGGCCTTGGACCAGGAACCCTCGTCTCGCCTGGACCTAAAAGGAGTCCATAGAAATCCCCCCGGGCAGCAAACTCACCTCCAAGTTCGACTATTTTGAGGTAGACGAAGCTGAAGCCTTGAAGCCTTCACCTCACAGATCTGCCTCGGCGGTCTGGACCCCAGGAAGGCTCTCGGAGGTCTGCGTAGACTCGCTCTCGCTCCTGCATCCATGCGGCCGGCTCGTTAGGGATTGCTGTGGCTTTCTTCGTTCCGAGTCTTCCTACTAAGCTTGTCGGTGAACCCACCATCTCAAGGAAGCCTGTTTCCTGTAGTAATTCCTCTCAGCATGTGTCATACTACGCACACACATCGCGCTCGCCGTCTGTTGCTCTGTGCACAGACAGGACTTCTCCCAAAAGCTGGAAAACAAAAGCACCGGCCAGGAATTCCGTCCGGCATCCAGTTTCATTGAACCCCTTGGCAGTGGCTGCGATCTATGTTTTCCGAAGGCGGCCGCTGTGAGCCCAAGAAGACAGATTTTCAGTAAAGGGATTCGAAACCCGAACACATGCCCCATGTGGAAGACTCGACCCAAAGCCCTAAGCCTTAAACGTGAAACACATCTAGCCATCAGCGACAGTGCCCCTGGCCTGCCTACGGTAGCATTGAGGGTTACAAGTAGGTGGGCTGGGGTCTGGTGGGCTGGGGTCTGGGGTCCGAGGACAGAGATGCTAAAGGCCTGTCAACACTTACATCGTACAACCGAGCAGATGTCCTGGGAGGCGTCCGCTGTAGCGTGCGCGTTGGAGCGAAAGGATCCTGGAATCTCCAGGGCTGCAAGGCTGCCTCTCCCAGGCTTCCTGTTGGACGGTGCCCTTTTCCCCTACCCCGACACACAGAGGAAAAAACAACGGCTCTAAGAGTTACGAGTACCCCATTCGCGGCGTGGTCATACAGTGGCCCTTGCAGGTCCTCCGGGCTCCAGAAGCAGCCATCCTCCTGCACTCGGGGTGGAAGGGGAGAGAGGCCCGCTGGCCAGCTTCACTTCTGAGGAAAGCATCCGGGAAGGTTAGGCCAGTCTGTTCTGCGACACAGGACGAACCATGTAGATACTGGCAACCGTATCTCATTTTCAACACACGGCGGCCGGGCGAAGCTCTCTTCGAGCCCTTCCAGTTTGGATTGCGAGGAGTTGCTTAAAACTTTTGTAGGGTAGACCTTGGCACTCCTCATCGGACACCAGTCCGGTCAAAACTGCAGCCTTTCAGGCCAGGGTCAGTCCTTGACGACTTCTGGTTTCAGTGGTTTCGACTTGCCATCCATGACGAGCTGGCTGCAACCATAATGCCGCACGATGTAATTGAACGGCTTGCCCCCGGAAGAGAGGCTGTTGATGGCACCATCCTTGGCGTTGAAGTGGATGGTGATGGTTCCTTCCGGGTTAGGCTTCCACATCTTGCTGTTGATCTGGGTCTCACCCTCCATGAGGTAGCCAGCTTCGTCATAGAGCGTGAAGGAGGTGAAGAACTTGTTCTTCGGATCCTCGAAGGTGATGGCACGTGGAACGTCCCCCGACATGGTTTCACTGGTGTAGTAAGCGTTGGATACGTGCAGTTCCGCCTCCATACCACCCCACCCAGCCGCATGCGACAGGTTCAGGGCGTGCGGATCGGCCCGGCCAGGTCCCCTCGCGTAGGTGCAAATACCACCGCCTTTCAACCATTCCGCCTTGTATTCCTTCCGCAGTTTCCCCAATTGCTCCTGGTCAAAGTTCGGCATTTTGTACGAGCTGTCGTCCATCGTTCCAGTCACTTTGATCTTAACCTGAGCAGCTCCTCGGAGCGGCGATCAAGAATCTCAGTGCGAAAAAGGATCCAGGCATACTCAGTATCAACCTTCAGCTTGTGAACTCCCCTCTCGATGATGTAATGGGGAGCAAAGCCGTTCTCATCAACCACGTGAGCCGACATGTAGAGCTCGTCCTCTGGCAGGAAGACAGTGACGCTTTTGTCCTCACCAACCCTTACGATTCGAGCTGAGTAGAGGGTGTCCCAATTCATCCGAACCGTGGGAGCCTGCGCCCCTGTTGGGGCCACCTCGCGGTAGTGGAAGATCCCCTTGTCAGCGCCAAGTTTGCACCACCTTGCATAGTTGAAAGCAGTCTCTGCCTGAGCAAAATTCTCGGCGGTGACCGGAATGGTCACGGACTCCATTGCTAGGGCGTTCTGGTCAAGCAGCCCGGATGCCGTCTTGATTCTGGATCTAGCTAGCTAGAAGCTGCAAGAAACTGCATGGCGCTGATCGTGAGCAGTCTATGGTACATCATGGCTACAGGACTACAGCGTCTGCGACGACGAGGTGTCCAAGAATACTCTGTTCACACTCCTGAGCCTCTCTGTACATGCGTGGAGATAGAGACTCATCAGAACTTTATGACGCAGAGTTCCCGAGCAGGTCAGACAAACTACACACTGAGCAGCATAGCTGTCTTTGGGCGTACCCCAGCAGGCATTCTTGAAGGTCCATGAGTAATTTCAAGCTGCGCCGATTCTGTCGAAACATTATTTGGCTGAGAGGGCGTGCCACAACTATGCAATTGTGAATTAACTCCAGACTAGAACAGCTGACATCTACAACACGATGATGTATGACCCAACACCTGGCGGCCTTCAGAAGCTGTCATGAGACTGCATATCACGACATCTTAAAGCCTGCTTTCTACTACTAGACTGCCGTGCTGTCTTAGAGAGCCAAGCCAGCCTAGCACAGGATGGAAATGCTCTCCAACCCCATCCACTAGTCCCGAAACCCTGAACTCAAACCTCGTAAAGCCCGATCATAGTAGTACCCTTGTAGCAGCCTTATACCTCCACTACTCTCCTACAGCCGAAAACCAAAGCCAAGGCTCCTTCCGCCGCGGCGCGCGGCAGGGTGTAGGCAGCCTGGCGGGAGATCGGACATGGGAGCTTCCGGCCGAAGCTGGGCAGTGCAAAGAAGGGGAAACCAGGAGACACGCATTGATCAGAGGATCCTTTGCAAGCTAGAACAGCTGTGAGATTGAATTGGATATGCCCTCACGTCACTCATGCATGAAACTTCTGAAGGACTCGTCCCACTCGGCGGAAAACATGTTGGGTTTGACTGTGTTCATCTCCTTCCCACACCCGGCCTCGCTAAGCACTCCTCGCCACGGCGCCTCCCACGCTCAACTCGTGAGCCGATGTGCGTTGTTGAAGCAAGGGTTCCGAAGTGTTGGGGTGCCGGGGACAGGACGTCTGCCAAACCTGCACGACCGGCATGCGCTTATCTGCCAAGCAGGCGTGCAATGCTGCTTGTGGCATCGGGCATGGCCTGGAACCGTCCCGCTCTACTTCCGTGCCTTCGCATCATCATGGCGGCCATTCCAAGCTGCCCGACTAGTAAAATAACATCATCATCATGGCAAAGCTTGAGCCGAGAAGTGAGAGGACCGATATCGGCGCATCGGTGGTTGCAAAGTCGGAACATGCATTTCCTAGTATGCCAGCCGAACTGTCAGAAGGCTGCCTTTCGCGGTGCAAACTCTTTAAGATTTGCCGAGCATCGCTTCCGAGCCTGCAACCGACCCGCGGGCACAGGTGGCACGACATCCACTCGTGGTCGCGTAGATGAATACCCCGGCGAGTGTGCATGGGAAATTGAGCCCAAAATGCTTTTGCAGATGGGACTGGGTGTTGAGGGTCCGGATTCAAGCAAGAATTGAGAGAGTGCTTTTGCCCGCACTTGCTGTTCACCACGGACGGGACTGAGTCTGTGCCAAACGTTCCGAAAAGACACACTCAGTCAGTGTTGCCGTGGCCTTCTCGCTCAACTTTACCAGGTGCGACGGGTAACTGGTACGACCGGATCTGCCGCGAGCCTAGAGTCGGCAGTTTTATCGGCATCCCTCTGGACTCCGTAAGAACTGAGAATGAAGATCAAAAGACCTGCTGTCGCGCCACCGGAAACTCTAGTCGTGCCTGCCCCTTAACCTTCCCCAGCTTCACTCTACCCAAGCCTTCGGTGGTACTGAGTGGTGGTGGAGCCCAAGCTTCTGCTTCCTCGCGCCTGACACAGAAGCTTGCACACAAAGGAGCCAGCTGCACGAGTCAACTGCATGCACTGGTTAGCGGATCATCGTCCAAAGGGCTTCGATCACAAGTGGCCTGAACAAATGCAGAACATGCATTGTTGACTTTTGCTTGTAGAGTCGGAAGAGGGGTGGGTTTGTTCCAGAGCACGCGACCTTTCAGGAGGGATCTCTTGGACATGAAGTCGTTTGAGACAGCTTCGCCTAGCAAGGTTCACCATCCGAAGTTGCCAACACATGCATAAAGTGCGAATCATTTGCTATTTCCATCCGCTTGTTACAGGCCTGGCTCGGGAGGACCAGCTGAGAAAGCATCTGCGCCCATGCAAAGGCCTGCCATCTAGCGCCTCGGTTCGGCCGGGGACAACAAGCAAGATAAGACTGAGCCCAACATTCCTAGCATATTGCCTATATCAAGCTCATGAAGCGCAGCCAAAAAGGATTCCTGTCGTGATTCGACTCTTCGAAGGAGATAGTTTGCAGCCGCAAAGCTGTAGGCAAGCCATGTCCGCTTTGCGGAAGGCGTCCATTATCCAAGTGCAACAGTCGTCGTGATCGTTGTTTTCATGCTAGTCGTAGTGGTAGTCGTAGTAGTGGTGGCGGTGGCGGTGGTGGTCGATTGGTAGTGGTAGCGGTACAGCAGAAGTAGCAGTAGCAGCAGCGACAGCGGCAGCAGCAGCAGCAGCAGGAGCAGGGGCAGGGGCAGGAGCAGCAGCAGTGGCAGTAGGAGCAGTAGCAATAGTAGCAGTAGTAGTAGTAGTAGTAGTAGTAGTAGTGGTAGTGGTAGTGGTAGTAGTAGTAGTAGTAGTAGTAGTAGGAGTAGTAGTAGGAGTAGCAGTAGCAGCAGTAGCAGTAGGAGTAGTAGCAGCGGCAGCCGAGGCAGTTGCAGCAGCAGCAGTAGTGGCAGTAGCTGGAGCGTCAGCGGCGCTTCGGCATTAACACTGGGAGCGTGACCAGGCTAGTCTCAAGGAAATCTGTGTTTTCCTTCTTCTTTAGAAGCGTTTCTGCTTCCATACAGCAAACCCAACCAGCCTGATGAGAAATACCTTGTAAATTGACATCTCTGCCATCCTCTGCTCTTCTTAGCCCTATCTATAGATGAACGCACGATTGAAGGATAGATCGTTGCTCTCACGGGCCTCCAGCACCTTCTGCGCATCATTGAAAGTGTGGAAGTTCACCTGCTAGCTTCCGCTGAGCTTGGTGGCCCTTCTAGCTGCACGTGAATTCTGCTCTGGCTGCAAAACTCAGGAACGTGATGTGCAGCCGAAGTTGCAAAGCCGTGCAGTTCGGACTCCAGGGTCTTGGTGTCCCGCACCACACGCAAGGTGGCGACTGGCGCCAGCTCTGTAAATAAGCCTCTGACAGCGCAGGGCTGGTGCTGAAAGGAAACTCTTTCCGGGATCTTGCTATACACGGCTTCCACCTAGTAGGCACCTGCTTAATTGAAGTTTGAAGCCGAAGCGATCTCGATTGCGAGATCACGATACAAGCATGTTGAAACATCATTGATGGACTCAGGTGTTGAGTCACAAGTTGGCAGTCTGGGCGCTGTATAGCATTTCTTCCGTCACAGCCGGGTGCAAATTGCTGATGCGCAAGGCCGGCTGTGCCACGTTCCACCTTGCAACGGACGCGGAGATTGTTGGTGCAGGAATTTGTTAGGGTTAGTCGGGCATTCATTAAAACAAAATCACTCAATTGATCATCTAAGGATATCTGAGGCACTTTCCGTAGTCCTCGCGCGCCCGCCCCAGTGCATCGGCAAGGCCGCACTTGCAGTACCCGTTGCATCGGCAGAGTGGCACTTCTCCCTGGACTTTGGCATGCGGTATCACCTTGGCTGCGCTGCACTTGATGGTTTTCAGATGTGTTCAGTGTGTTGGCCGTCCGTTCCACGAACATCTTCAATCATGACCTGCAAAATTCTAAAACTTCGCGGACAGCAAGACCAACACCGCCACAACCCGAAGAAACAAGACCCTGATTATCTCACACAACCGATGTAGCCAAGTCACAGCAGGTCGGCTTGGCCTCTTCCGGCCAAAGTCGTCTGACTCCTTCCGTTCAGGGTGGGCTCTAGACATCGGAGGGCTCATAAACGAAACTTAAATGACGGGCTCCGAAGGCTTCAGCTCAGTAGTGCCCACGGCTGATGGCCCTTGGTGATTGCCCATGCCCACTCCGGCCGTCGGACTTGTTGTCCCGGCTACTGGTAGCTTTTGTGTTCCAGGCCATGGCTGCGAGCGCCCGGAGACGCCGGACGTTCCGAAGCTCGACCGAGCTGCCGTCCGATGTACGTGGCTTGCGCCGCTCCGATGCATGCAGAAGCTAAAGAACGACCACGCTCGGCACTGGTCGGTGCGAGACGGTGATACGTGCCCTTCGAGTTGTACCTTTCCTTAGCCTGGAGTGGGCCGCCAACGGCGCTTCGGTCTCGCGAGCGCCGCACCGATGAACAAGCTCCAGCTGCACAAGCCGGCCCACGTCGACCCTGACCGCCACAGCATCTGCGGTGCGCGCCGAACTCCTGCGGGTGCCTGTATTCAATCTTGCATGGGGCAGAATCTAAAACCACGCTCGGCACTGGTCGGTGCGATACGTTTCTCAGATACTCTAGTCACTCTCGCGCGTTTATAGCCTGTTTCTCAAATTCTCTAATCCCTTTCAAACGGTTTGCTCCTTGTGTCTCAGATACTCTAGTCGCTCTCGAGCGTTTACTGCCTGTTTCGCAGATTCTCTAGTCCCTTTCGAGCGGTTTGCTCCTTGTTCCTCAGATACTCTATAGTCGCTCTCGAGCGTTTACTCCCTGTTTCTCAAATTCTCTAGTCCCTTTCGAGCGGTTTGCTCCTTGTTTCTCAGATACTCTACTCTAGTTGCTCTCGAGCGTTTACTCCATGTTTCGAAGATTCTCTAGTCCCTTTCGAGCGGTTTGCTCCTTGTTTCTCACATACTCTGGTCGCTCTCGAGCGTTTACTCCCTGTTTCTCAAATTCTTTAGTCCCTTTCGAACGGTTTGCTCCTTGTTTCTCAGATACTCTGGTCGCTCTCGAGCGTTTATTGCCTGTTTCTCAAATTCCTATTCCCTTTCGAGCGGTTTGCTCCTTGTTTCTCAGATACTCTAGTCGGTCTCGAGCGTTTACTCCCTGTTTCGCAGATTCTCTAGTCCCTTTCGAGCGG